TTGAAAATGTTTCTTCCAAAGATTGAGTTTTTGCTAAGATTTTAGATATTATCATTACTTGAATTTTCCTCTTTGCCTTTTATTTTTACAGTCACCAGAAAGAAATTTTCTTTATTTATATATTTATGTATTTTAATTTACTTTTTTAAAATACATTTTTTAATTGATTTCAGAGAGGAAGGGAGGGGGAAAGAGAGATATAGAAACATCAATGATGAGAGAGATTATTGATTGGCTGCCTCTTGCATGCCCCACACTGGGGATCGTGCCCTCAACTCTGGGCATGTGCCCTTGACTGGAATTGAACCCTGGACCCTTCAGTCTGCAGGCTGACACTCTATCCACTGAGCCAAATTGGCTAGGGCAGAGAGAAATTTTAAAGCATTTAAAAAATGGCCCTTTTCCTATATGCCACCCAGCACATAATCCTCATTTCCTCTAATTTCAAACATAAAGGAGAGCCCAGCTCAGACAAGAAGGATCCTTGCTGCATGCTCACCAGCTCATGCATTCTCTTTATTCTGAGAGGCTCCAGCTCCAACAAAAGGTAGGAGGGGAAGGGCTACTCCAAGTACCCAGCAGAGCTAATCCCTGCTTGGTCTTAATAACATAGAGATCTGTAATTCCTATCTGAACATGCTTTCAGAGTGGAGATCTTTGACCATGAGCTCCAAAACTTCCCACTTAGTCTTGAAAGTTTTATTGGTGCATGCATGACCATGAGTGCTCCAGTCATTGCTCCTGCATCATTTCTGATGGGTCATTGGCATTATCTTGATCCAGAACCAGAAAGAGTAAATGCTCTGAAGCCCAAATACATAGCAGAAATACCAGGATGCAGTTAATGTGAGTAGTTTGATTCCTTTCTGTAGCATAGACTTAAATTAGGGTCAGTGGAAATATGACTTTGGTTGTAACAAAGCTTGAGAATGTCTAATTGATCCATTTTCCAATATAAGAATCATGAGGCCGAAACTGGTTTGGCTCAGTGGATAGTGTGTCAGCCTGCGGACTGAAAGGTCCCGGATTCGATTCCAGTCAAGGGCATGTACCTCGGTTGCAGACACATCCCCAGTAGGGGGTGTGCAGGAGGCAGCTGATCGATGTTTCTCTCTCATCGACGTTTCTAACTATCCCTCTCTCTTTCTCTCTATAAAAAAAAAAAAAAAATCAATAAAATATATATTTTTTAAAAAGGATCATGAGGAGAACATTTGTTAATTCCCTTTCATTATGTCAGTGAGCATAGTGGGATCACTCATAGGAGAAGGTGGTCTGTTTCCCCACTATTTTATTTTTTAAAAAAATCTGCCTTCTGGGTTGTTGAAGTAATATTCTCATGTGAAGGACTGCTTGGGAATATAATTTCCCATTTTACCTAACTTGCTTTGAATTAGGACTTAACTGTCAGATCCCTGCTTCTGAGTGAGCTGCTCATTACTCTGCAGCAGGGTGGACACACAGTGGTAGGTCATTCGCAGAAAGGTGGTGATAAAAATGGGCAGGACCACCCTGAGCCTGATGATGGAATAGACCAGGAGTTCCCACCATGGTCTTCACTGAGAGCCAGCTAGGCGGGGCCCCCAGGGCTTTACACACACACACACACACACACACACACACACACACACACACACACACACACCCGTGCGCCAATTCTTCTCAGGGCCTTCTCCTACCCCGCCGGCCTGGGTCTCTGGTCTCTTGCACTGCCTCCACCTGGAATGCCATTTGATTTAAAACAAGAGTATCTGAAGTTTATAGAATTCTGAAACAGAAACCAAGCATTCCTTGAAATCTTTGCCTGTTCCAAACCGTCAGTATTAAGACCACAGATGGGAGCTAGTATTAGGGCTTTTTGGACCACACTGACCCCTGGCCTCATTGAAAAATGTAGGCTAGAGAACAGTATATACTGTATGAATTCACTTTTGTAAAAACACAAAAACCTTTATCATTGCCTAGTACATAAAATAGTAAGTACCACCTGGCTGGCGTGGCTCAGTGGTTGAGCATCAACCTATGAACTAGGGCAGTGGTCGGCAAACTCATTAGTCAACAGAGCCAGGTATCAACAGTACAATGACTGAAATTTCTTTTGAGAGTCAAAATTTTAAAACTTCTAATGCCGCTTCTTTAAAATGGACTCGCCCAGGCCGTGGTATTTTGTGGAAGAGCCACATTCAAGGGGCCAAAGAGCTGCATGTGGCTCGAGAGCCGCAGTTTGCCAACCACGGAACTAGGGGGTTGCAGTTTGATTCCCAGTCAGGGGACCAGCCCCAGTGGAGGTCGTTCAAGAGGCAGTTGATCAATGATTCCCTCTCATCATTGATGTTTCTATCTCTCCCTCTCCCTTCCTCTCTGAAATCAATAAAAATACATATAAAAAAATAGTAAGTACTAATAATATTTATGGACTAATGCTTGAAAAAATTGTGTGTGTGTGTTTTTTTTTTTTTAAGTATATTGATTTTGTACAGAGAGGAAGGGAGGGAGATAGAGAGTTGGAAACATCGATGAGAAAGAGTCATTGATCAGCTGCCTCCTGTACACCCCCTACTGGGGATGTGCCCGCAACCAAGGTACATGCCCTTGACCAGAATCGAACCCGGGACTCTTCAGTCCCCAAGCCAATGCTCTATCCATTGAGCCAAACCGGTCTCGGCTAATGCTTGAAAAGATTGAATGGATATATATGGGAAAAATGAGTATTGCACACTAAAAATGTTAATTATAGTTATTTCTATTGTAGTATTTGTTTATAAGTGGTGAGAGATTGTTGAAAATGAATATGAAAGAACTGTGTAGGAAGTCATAAATTTAATCATTCCCTGAAATATTTCAAGCCACTAATAAGTTTTGTTATCCTTTTACTCTGCAAAACAACAAAATAAGTTGGGTTATTTCATGAAGAAAAAATATCTTTCATAGTTTAGGTATATAGAGCAAACTGGGACACAATTCCAAAACAAATAGTTTAATACAACTGAGAGGTTTTATATACACTGTCAGATGAGTGGTGCTGTCCAACTCGGGCCCCCTCTGCTCTAAAACAGCAAGCTTAAATGCTGGGATGGGAGACCAGCCCACTGGCTGGAGACCTTTAGGAGACAAAATAGAAGTCATTCTTATCATTAGGGAGTTCATAGGCAAGTGACTATGCCTGGGAAGTTACACTTATATTTATGTTTCAGCTGAATTCATTTTTAAGACAGGAATGATATTAGTCCTGTTTAATAGGTTATAAAAAGAAACTATTTGAGAGTTCAAAGATACAATTTTAGATATGTCAAATAATTTGCTAGTTGTAAGTAAATGTTTATTGAATCTTTACTTTAGGTCAGGGACTGTGCCAAATCTAACTTTTATAATTTTTTTTTTTTATTGCCCTCATATCCAAATCTAACTTTTAAAAAAATATTTATTTTCTGGTCCTGGCTGGTGTAGCTCAGTGGGTTGAGAGTTGTCCTGTGCACTACAAGATCGCCGTTTTTTTTTTTTTTTTTTTTTTTAAATATATTTTATTGATTTTATACAGAGAGGAAGGGAGAGAGATAGAGAGTTAGAAACATCGATGAGAGAGAGTCATCGATCAGCTGCCTCCTGCACACCCCCCACTGGGGATATGCCCGCAACCAAGGTACATGCCCTTGACCGGAATCGAACCCGGGACCCTTCAGTCCCCAAGCCAACGCTCTATCCATTGAGCCAAACCGGTCCCGGCACAAGATCGCCGTTTAATGCTCAGTCAGGACACATGCCCAGGTGGCAGACTGGGATCCCTGGCAGGGAACGAGCAGGAGGCAGTGATTGATATTTCTCTCTCCCTCTCCCTTCCTCTCTAATAAATCAATAAAAACATTTAAAAATTTATTTCCTGAGTAGGTAATACTTCACTAGGTGAAGCAATTTTAAAAGGATCTGTAGATAGTTTTTCTCCCACCCTGTCTCCCAGCTACGCGTTCTTGTTTCTATGTGTGCATATGCATAAGGGAATTCTTATGCATATGCACACATATATGTATCTGCTTTTTAAAATCACAGATGATAATATAATACAAATTGTACTCTCTAGAGTAAAAGTATTTCATACCCTTATCTCATTTAATTACAGTAGTAGTTAAGATAGGTACTCATTATTTCCATTTTACAAATAAGGAAACTAAGATATCTACATTTCTTAACTTATCCAGGATAATGCTATAGCTTATAAAATATAGATAGAATCTTTTTTAAAAATATATTTTATTGATTTTTTACAGAGAGGAAAGGAGAGAGATAGAGAGCTAGAAACGTCGATGAGAGAGAAACATGGACCAGCTGCCTCTTGCACACCCCCTACCGGGGATGTGCTCGCAACCAATGTACATGCCCTTGATCGGATTCGAACCTGGGACCCTTCAGTCAGCAGACCGACGCTCTACCGCTGAGCCAAACCGGCCTCAGCAAGATATAGATAGAATCTTTCTAGGTATAGAGGCACTTATTTTGGTACTACTTATTTATTTTAACTTTTTTTTTTAAACTATTTCAAACTTACAGAAAAGTTGCAAGAATACAATAAAAGGATTTCATATATTTTTTGGCCCAAGTTTCCATTCAGGTTTCTGTAGTATCTCAGTAATGTTGGCAAAAGAAATCTACCCAGGAGCACACATTCCCAGTTATTTTGTCTCTAGCTTCTTCGGTCTGGAACAGTTCTTCAGCCTTTCCTCAGCTTTCATGACCTTGATATTTTTGGAGATCAAAAGTCAGTTGTTTTGAAGACTATCAGTTGGCAATTATCCTAGGTTTCCTCACAATTACACCCATAATGTGCATTTTTGCCCAAAATATCATGGAAGTAACGCTGTGTTCTTCCCATTGCATCCTATCAGGCGGCATACAGTGTTGACTGGTTCCATTAAAGGGAGAGAAGGGAAAAGAGGGGGGAGGAGAGTAACTTTTATTGGTTTGCTTCTCAGAGAGCCCTCTGTTCAGTAACTCTCTTTCCCTTGTAGCATCCTGGCGGAGAAGAGGTTCTGCTGGAACAAGCTGGCGCGGATGCAAGTGAGAGCTTCGAAGACGTAGGCCACTCCTCTGACGCCCGAGAAATGCTCAAGCAGTACTACATTGGCGATGTGCATCCGGTAAGTACCCACTGGGGCAGGAGAGCTCCGAACAGCCACAGCACAGTGGACGTGCATTCAACTCAGGCTAACTTTCCTCCAGAATCGCCTGGCCTCACTGCAGCCATACAGCGTCTTGTTTGCAAAGCCACACGTGCATTATCTCTGGAAAGCCAAGGAAACTGACTTTGGATGTCTTTAATTGATGGACTGATTTTTGTAATGTAGTTAACAACATCTCTACTTAGTAATATAGTGGTTTGGGTGCTCTTGCAAATTCCTTTCTAAAGGTGGTAACTGGACTTTTTAACCCATACCATTCTAACCCTGATGTCTCTCAGGGAATGCATTTCCATCAGAATGTAATTTCATGACCCAAGGTTAGAAACAAGCACATGTGAACATTCAGTGGGATATGTCTTAAAGGACTATTTGTTTTCCTCTTTTAACAGAATGACCTTAAACCTGAAAGTGGTAGCAAGGTAAGAAGTCCTTTGTTTCTCTTGTGTATTTCAAGTCTTTATATTTCTTTTCTTTTCTTTTTCTTTTTCTTTTTTTTTTTTAAATTTCTTTATTGATTAAGGTATCTCATATTTGTCTTCAACCCCCCATTCAAATCCCCCACTCCCCCACTAATGTCCCCACCCCCCACAAGTCTTTATATTTCTACTTACATTGAATTGCTTTTAAAAAAAAAATTTAATAAGAGAAGTGTTTACTTTCCCCCCAAGCAAAAATCCTATTTTTCAGGAATTTGGACTCAGTGCCATCTCAGGAAAAAAGAATAGCTGAGTCTTGAACAGTAGGAAATATTTATTCATGTTTCTATTTAATTTTTTTTAATTGAAACTAACACCATGCCCTATATGGTTTTGAAAGAAATTAGTTTATGACCTCTGTTGTAGAAAATAATTTATTATTCTTCATTGTATTGGAAAGTTGATTTTTCTCTTAGAAGTCTTAGAAAGAGTTGTAGACTGAAGTATCCAGAATCGCCTGGCCTCACTGCAGCCATACAGCGTCAAGTAATTGAATAGAACAGGCCTTTCTGTCCCTGTTTCCCAAATTTAATCCTTTTACCATGGAGTATCAGATGGGCCTTACTGTTCCCATTTACTCAGTGATACAGCAAAAACAAAAGATTAAATATTTGAAAACCTTAATGTGCACTGCATAATGTAACAGGAGGAAAATGCAAAGCCTTTTTTGCTTCCCGCAAGCTGGGTGGTTCACCTCCTGTGTTTTCTCACAATCTTCCTTGATTTCTGTCCATCAGATAGAGAGCTATTACACTATACTCTGATTTAAAGGGACGGGACAGCAGTTTAAAGTAGCTTCCTGGAACATCATGGTAGCGATGCTCCTTCTCCTTTTCCCCTTTCTACCTTCTTGCTTCCCTTTCCTCATTGAGCTGGAGTTATTGAACATGTTCGACACGGCAATTAAAGTTGGCCTAGACACACGAATTCTTTCAACCCGAGATTGCTTGACAGTGTCTGCCATCTGTTGCCCTGCAATTAGAGAGTGTAAATTAACTCTCTGTCTTGCTATCCTCTGCTACTCTGAACTGTTGAATTGTTTATGAAGGAGGATGAAATGGTTCTTTAAGTGCTTTGTGAGCACTATTGGTTTGTTTGCCCGCCCCTCCTCACACATGTACCATCCATTCTTGAATCCTCACTTTTCTAATTGAGAACAAAGTTGGCTCGCCAAGTGGCTCAGTTGGTTTGCAGCATTGTCCCATTCACCAAGAGGTTTGGGGTTTGATTCCTGGTCAGGGCACATACCTAGGTTGTGGGAGGCAACCAATCCATGTTTCTCTCTCCCTTCTTCTCTAAAGTCAATAAAAAAAAATCCCTGAATGAGGATTTAAAAAAAAAGAGAGAAAATTTGAACTAAGTCTGGTTTTGTTTAGTGAATATGTCCAGGAAACATTGCTCTCAACATTTGATTCAAGGAATAATTCATTTGTACAAGAGATGCACCTTGTATCTGGGAGCCTGGGAGCCATGATTCACTTTGCACAGTAACCATGAAAGCAGCCCATCTTTTAAAACAATAGAACCCTGGCCTGGTAGCTCAGTTGGTTAGGGCATCATCCCAATACGTGAGTTCAATCCTTGGTCAGAGCACATGCAAGAATCAACCAGTGAATGCATAAGCAAGTGAAATAACACATCCATGTGCTTCTCCCTCTCCCCCTAAAATCAATCAATCAATTTTTTTTTTTTTTTAAGGAAAATAGTTTTGGAATTATAATGTCCAGAAGTCTACAGATTGCTTCTTGTTGCATTTTCCTCTCTTGGAAATACAGCATGAGGTAATAGGAATGGAGAGTGGTGATTTTCAAATTCTGCTCTTTGGGCCACCTCTATTGGACTCCTTTGGCATGTTTTCTGAAATGTATATTTCCTGGGCTTCCATTACTATTGATTCATCATTCCTGGGGGTAGGACTTTGGAATTTGCATTTAAAGTAACCCAGGTAGCCAAGCACCAGATTTTTTGCTGAATGGTATGTTTGGTCTTTCATTGGGAAACATGGGGAACTTTTATTAATTCTCCTCTGTGAAAAGCGCTGTCTGCCTTCTGTAGGTCAAAGAATTAATTAGAGATGTCTCAGTTAAGTTAAAACGGTTGAGGCTTGGACCTTTTGTAATAAATATAGAAAAAGAAACCCATTCAGCTCACCAAGTTCTGTAATAATTTAAAAGTCTCCGAATGTAGTTTGGCTCCTGCCCGGGTTAAACTGATTAAAGGCAGTGTTTTCAAGTGTCTGTTTTCCTCATGAATGTTGTACCCAAAGCACAGTCTCCATTAAGAAGGGAGTCTGGCAGTTGAGTGGTTCCAGTCACACTGCTGTACTTCAGATCAGGCAAGCAAAAAAGCCTGCTGGAAAATTTCTAAGACCACCTACATAGGTTGTCATAGAGCTGTAGTTTAACCTGATTTCAGGCCCAAGAAGCAATTCTTGGTCCCTCAAAGTTATTTCTTATGGAGGTTTTAAATAGGCACTTCTGTGCCTAAGATGTAAGTGTCGCTAAAAAAATTTTTTGTCCTAGTTTAAATATTCACCAGGAAGAAATAGATGTAATGTTAATTTTATTAATACTTTCTTTTGGTTAAGAGTTTCTGAATCTCTATAAATAAGTCATTTTTTAAAAAGCCTGCCTTATGGGGTAGTTCTCATTTTACTTCTTCTCCCTTCCTTTATTTCTCCACTTCTCCTTCCACAGCTCCATATCTCTTCCCTGTCTGAAACTCCTCTCCACCCCTCAATATCAAAAGACAACCACAAAAAACACCCAAACATTGCTATTTCAGAGTATAAATCAGGAACCTTTCCCCGGATTGTTTTGAAACTACCTTTTATACTGCTTTTGCAGGTAAATAATTAATGGTTATCATTGTGTGGTTTTTTTTTTTGTTTTGTTTTTTTTTTTTGAGATTTTTATGCCTGAGGTTCAAGGCCCTGAAATATTAAAATAATAAAATGGAAAAGCTTACAAAACAGATCTGGCAATGGATAATTTTTTTTTACTTGCTTCAGTCAAAGATAATTAACTAGTTAAAAAACCTCTTTGTCTCTGTGACTCTCCCTTGCTGGATCAGTCCCCATGCTGAGAGCCATCAACCTTCTATTCATATTTGACCTAATATTTTTCTGATCTGCTTTTGGTTATGAAAACTTGTCTTGGAAACAGACTTAGTGTTTTCTGTGCCAGTTTGTCTGCCTGCCTACTATACTGCAAGTAATCTAGACACCTTGTGGTCCATGAAATCTCTCTTTTGAGTATGCATTTACTTTTTTTTTTTTTAATTTAATTGATTTATTACAGAGAGGAAGAGAGAGGGATAGAGAGTTAGAAACATCGATGAGAGTCATTGACCATCTGCCTCTTACACCCCCCTACTGGGAATGTGCCCGCAACCAAGGTACATGCCCTTGATCTGAATCAAACCCGGGACCTTCCAGTCCGCAGGTCGACATTCTATCCACTGAGCCAAACCGGTTTTGGCTTTTAAAAAAATATATATTTTATTGAATTTTTACAGAGAGGAAGGGAGAGGGATAGAGAGCCAGAAACATTGATGAGAGAGAAACACCCATCAGCTGCCTCCTGCACACCCCCCACCAGGGATGTACCCGCAACTAATGTACATGCCCTTGACCGTAATCGAACCTGGGACCTTTCAGTCCACAGATCAACGCTCTATCCAGTGAGCCAAACCGGTTTCGGCTGCATTTACTTCTTGATTAGCTGTGTTATTACTGCCATCTGTTCAGGAGATGAAGGTACATGTATATGCTATCCTGACCAAAAAAGCAGGTACCATGTCTAATTTATTCAATAGATATTACCTATAATATTTGACAGTTCACCTTCTTCACTAGTCAAATCTCGTTACGATGACTAGAACCAATAACTTGACCAAAATGATTCCCTCTGGTCCCCAACTCTCAGTCTCCTAGTTCCCCTTACCCAGTGGTAAACAGCTACCATTTTCTTGTTTACTTTTCCAGAGAGATTCTGTGCACACATAAGTATAAATAGGTTGATGGATAGATGGATGGGTAGATAGATTGTTCGATTGATAGAGCAGCTATCCCTTCCTTAAAAAAATCTCATATTATTCTGCACCTTGCTTCTTTTTACTTAATCATTTTTATATTAATGATTGTTCCTTATCAGTTCATAAAGATCTTCCTCATTCTTTTTTTCTTTTTATTTCCTTCCTCATTCTTTTAAATAGATATTTATTATTTCATAGACAAAAGTTTTAATGAAATGACATTTGCTGTAACAAGCATTGAGTTGTTTAAAAAAAAAAAAAAACACCAAAATTGTCTCCATAAAGACTTAAACATTTTAAAAAAGATTTTTAAAAATAATTTTTAAACTTGTTTAACTTTTGAAATCCAGGAAATTTCACATAATAGTAGAAGCAATCTATACAGTGGGTTTAAAGGCATGTACATTTTTTTCCTCCCAGATGCTACTTACTTGTGTTATACATACAGTTTTTTATTACACACATAACATATTACCCATACATAAAAGTCGTTTTACTTCCTTATGGGAGAAAAGGGTACATTGTGTAAGTAATGTAGTTATTGGTTATGTTATACTAAAATTTTCCTTTTAAGAATTCTTGAATATTCCTATCATATTTACAGCTTAATCTATTATAGTTTATAACGGGGAGGTAGATGTTCTGTAGGTGAGTAGTGATTGCCACTTACTAAAGAATTGTGTCAGGTTACTTTGTTCCTGTTTTTGTCTAACATTTATATTTTGTAACATAATCTTTTGAAATAAATCATTGAATGTGTAATAGCAAAATCACTTTTGAAAGACAAAATACCCTTTGCTGAGGGATCTCAAGGATTAAAGTCTTCTTGTATCCTTCTATTTAGAAATGACATGTAGTTCCGCAAAATAAGGAGTTAGAAGACAATATAAGATAACATTCATTTTAAATCAGCCCTCCAATGTTATAACCAATTTTCCCCTCTTGGGTCTCTGTAGGAATCATTCTATGAGTGTTTTAATTTTTTTTTTTTTTTCCAGTAACGTCATATATATTGTATCACAGTGGGTTCTTGAGAGAGTTGTGTAGAAATCTGTTTTAGAGGATGTTTTTCATCCTTGAATTTTGTCCTTATCAACAGGGAAATATTTTTTCCTTGACTGGGCTGACTCTAGTGATACATGCTTTGAAGACAGCAATTGTTAAACAGTATTCTCACCCAGAAAGAAATTTTAGAGCACTAGCGGCCCGGTGCATGAAATTTGTGCACTGGGAGGGTGGGCTCAGCCCCGCCTGTGCCCTCTCGCAGTCCAGGAGCCCTCGGGGGATGTCTGACTGCCCCCTTAGGCCCGCCCCCAGTGGGCGTGACCATTATTCGGACATCCTTAGTGCTGCCACGGAGGCGGGAGAGGCCCCCCCCACCGCCGCTGTGCTCGTCAGCCGTGAGCCTGGCTTCTGGCTGAGCAGCGCTCCCCCTGTGGGAGTGCACTGACCACCAGGGGGCAGCTCCCCTGGTGAGTGTCTGTCCCCTGGTGGTCACTGTGTGTCATAGCGAGCAACTGGTCATTCTGCCATTCGGTCGATTTGCATATCAGCCTTTTATTATATAGGATTAGAGCCTTCATGAGAAGGCAGTCCTCAAGATCCATACCACATTTCTGTGTCATTGATGGGATTACAAATGTTGAAATCATGTACCTTCAGTACTTAAACTTTTTATATTGTAAGATGAACCTTGTACTAAAATTCATATAGTGATAGCTCACGGTGAAGTCCATTGTATTAAGGAGGAAAAATCCTCTCCAGTAGTGTCTGAGGCCAAAAGTTCCCAGGTTTTCTTTTCATAGGTACTGGCCACATAGATACCAACGTGTTCTAAATAGAAAGCTGTAAAAACCACCAGCCCACCCAAGCACTCATCAAATTTGCTGAAGGTGTCCTGTGGCTTAAAATCCACTTCTAATTTTAAATGCTTGGAATCCTCTTGGAATAGCAAACACCCAATTGAGGAATTAAAACACAAACTTCTTATACATCTTATATTTCTTTTTTATTTAAACCCTTGAAAGTCTGAATATAAACTATTTAGGCCAAAGATACACTTATAATGCCCCCTTTGTATATTTTAATGCTTTATAATCATAATTCTGGCACATCGTTCCCTATGTTTATGTCCTGGTGACAGAACACCATTTTTTAAGCATGTGTTCTTCTCCCATGTTAATTCCTGTTTATTTTGAACTAAAATCCGAGTAGACTTAAAGCAGTTTGGTTGTTTGGAAGTGTATTCCAAAGTCCTTGGGAGAATTAAAAAAAAACAGGCATATTGATTACTTAGTAAGTCTTTGGCTAGAACTCTGGATTTGATCTGTTCCCTTGTAACTAAAATCATATAGTACTGCAATTACTGCTTTCCATGCCAGATCCAGAGCAGTCCTGTTCTCTTTTCCAAAGACCTTGCGTGTAAATGAAAATGCGGGCTCTAAGAACAAAAACCAGCCAAAACCCCCAAAGGGATAAGTTAAAGTCAGTCATAAACTGTAGGAATTTCACTTCAACATCCATTAGATTCAGCACAGAGCTTCAGAGTGGAAATGAGAATTGGGAAACTATAGAAAGCCAGAAGGGTGGAGGTGAGGGGAGGTTTTGTGTTAATAGGACCTTCTTCTTCTTCTTCTTTTTTTTTTTTTTTTTTTTTAATTTTGTAAACTTAAAAATAACTTGTTTTGTCTCTTTTCCAAACTTGGCTGAGGTACTTGGCTACGAAGAGCAGTGTCTTAAATAACTCTTTCATTATCGTTGATTAAAAGTGGAGTCACTGTAGCTTGGCATTTACTGGGCTGTCAGTATCTTAAAGGGAAAATATGCCTCTTTCTCTTTTCTCCAATGTAGGGTAGTTGGTCTTTTTGACTCCAGGGAAAGTTGATCTTTTTATTTTTATTTTTTAAATTATTGAGTGATTTTTAGAGAGAGACTTGGATTTGTTGTACCGCTTAGTTATGCATTAATTGCTCAATTATTATATGCTCTGACTAGAGAGCAAACCCACAACCTTGGCATATAGGGACAGCACTCTAACCAACTGAACCACCCAGCACTGCAGGATGGATTGATTTTCAAACAGGGATTGAAATATTTCGTTAAAAAACACATTTAAAATTTTATTACTGCTTATTAGAAACTTACAATTTCAGCATTATGGTTTGGTTCTCTTCTCTCTGTTTGTTTACTACACTAAGACTCACTCTAATTAGCACACATCTAAGGTTTTGGTTATAAAAGAGGCTAAAAGCATTGAAATCTAGAGAATCCATTTATATGAATTATATACATGGCTTTTAATGTATTGCAGATTAAAAATAATAATACATCTATTACCCCATAGTGCTGTCATGTAAACCTTGCAAATCATCCCATTTAAAAAAATACTATATAATTTTTGTTTTATAAATTATTGGTTTATATGTGGATAAATCATAAAAGACCATGGACATTTAAAAAAATATATATATTTTATTGATTTTTCACAGAGAGGAATTGGGGAGAGTTAGAGTTAGAAACATCGATGACAGAGTCATCTATCAGCTGCCTCTTGCACGCCCCCTATTGGGCATGTGCCTGCAACCCAGGTACATGCCCTTGACCGGAATCGAACCTGGGACCCCTCAGTCCTCAGGCAGACGCTCTATCCACTGAGCCAAACCGGTTTCGGCAACCATGGACATTTTCTTGATGGAATTCAATTATTTCTTGACTGCTATAGGGGAATATTTTTAAAAGGCAACATTATAAATTAACCCAGTGCACACACCATCATCACTACCACTACCTTCCAAATCTATAAAACATTTGTTGTATTTCTCAAAGATTGATCTGTGACATGTTTTAATTAGCCAAATTTGTGCTATTCTAATAGATATGACCCAGATAACTGGAATCATCTTAATAAGGGTCTTAGTGAAGTGTAGTAGTATATTAATATGGTTTATCTAAAAATTTTTATTGGAAATTTTACTTGCCTGTAGGCTAATTTCTTTCAGGTTTGGGCATGTATTCATTTGCATGACTGTGTCTTGGATATATGAAATTAAAACTCATTCCATGGTCTGCTCTAAAGTATCTAGGCCAGTATGTAGATTTTTTTAAAATTCTGGGAGAAGTCTGATGTGGTGGTTAACACAGAGCTAACATTCTGTGTTCATACCCTGGAGTGTTTCTACATATTGGCAAAGATGATATTTTGGGCAACAGTAGCCTATATTGGTGGGTTATTGTCCTCTGGCAGTAAGAGGGTGTTTTGTACTATGTAGTTAATAGAATCAATAACTTCATTTAATATTTAAGTTGAATTAAAAAAAATTTAGTTACAGCTTTATTAAGATACTAGAGACCCAGTGCACGAAGTCGGGAACCCGCAGAGGATGTCCCACTGACGTTCTGCTGTAATGGTCGCTTAGGCTTTTATTATATAGAGAATTCAGGTCCCATTTAATTCACCAGAATTTTGTTTTTAAGGGTTTTCAGCAAATTCACAGAGCTGTGCAACCATAATCACAGTCTATTTTGGAACATTTTCATCATTCCAAAAAGAAACCCTAAACCATTAGCAGTCATTTTCAATTTTTCTCCAACTCTTCTTTCCCTGAGCCCTAGGAAACTAGTGATCTGCTCTCCACCTCTAAATTTGTTTATTTTGAACATTTCATACAAACGGACTTATATAATATGTGGTATTTTGTATCTGGCCTTTTTCACTTAGCATAATGTCTTCAAGGTTTAATCCATGCTGTACTAGTAGTATGAAGTTACTTCATTTCTTTTTGTTGTCAAAATTTTGTTCTTAAGGTTATTTTAGTATTTTATTTCCATTTACTTCATTCTTCCCTTTTTTATTATGAAGTAAGCCCTAAGGTCTCTAAATCATAATTATTATGATTTCAGAGAGTAAGCCAGTTCGTTTCTGTAAGCCACAAAACAATCAACTTCATGCTATAGAGCATTTCACAGTTAATCTATATATCACAAGGCAAGCCTTTATTTTTTAAATATGTTTTCAAAATATTTAATCTTAGTTACTGCCAGTGGCAAGCCCTACTAAAGTAGGTGTATCACCGTGACTACAAATTGGTCCATTTCAATATAATTTTATCATTAGCATTTTTTTTTTTTTCATCTAAAGAATGTTTAGGTCATTTATTATTTCATTAATGGTTCTTCACTAAGGAATAGCAGTATATTATCAGAAATAGAATTCCCAGTACTCTTATTGCATATAGATTTGTAGACATCAAATTGCATGAAAGGTGAAGTTCTGTTATTAGCTACAGAGTTTAAATAGTTATGCAAGAAGATTTATGTATTCTGTGTTAATCTTCATTCTTTTTGTTTTGTCATTTTTAAATATGGATGTTCTTCAGGACCCTTCAAAAAATGACACCTGCGGAAGGTTAGTATCCCTTTAATGCACTTCATTCTGCTCAGTATAATGTCTGGCAAGAGGTTCTTCCATAAATCTACCTGTATGACATAACCTAAGAATACTGTTTGACAGTTAATTCTTCTTTTGGCCAAAATTATTGCACATTCAGAAGTTCCTTAGCATTAGCAAAATTAATTTTTACAGTTTTAATCATTTTGAGTAATCTCAAAAGAGGCCTTGAGTAATTTTTAGATCAAGTTGGAATCACACTCAGTAAGAGGCTATATGTGTGCACAAGTAACTACTATTGAGTCAAGCCCAGTCCCTGCAGCTCAGCTCAGCTGTGCAACTTCCACCTAAAACTTAATGTCACTTAATCCTCACAATCACTGTAAATAGGTACTATTATTACATTCTACAGAAGAAAAAATTATGTATTGCGGTCATAATTAGAAATTTGGGTTTTCTCAAAAGCTTGCTTACTTTGCACTAATGTCAGTAATACAGCTCTGAAAAGTATAAGTTTACCATTCTTTAAATGTTTCTACTTGAGATGACTGCGGAATCCTGGGCTTGTAAAAACCTTTATGGAGATTACTCCCTGTTTCACCTTTCTTAGGTCGCATTTAGAGCATTTCAGAGAAAAAGAGAGAGAAAATGTGCCCCCCCCCCCCCCCCAAACCGATGCCATTTCTAGGGATGTATTTAAGAGCAAAGTATACCAGGAATGTTCACTGCATTATTCAAGACCTTAAAATATAGAAAATGATGAAAATAACCATTAATAAAATGAATTAATTCATTCTGGTATATTCATATGGTGGTTATCACTTGGTCTTTTGTACTAACAAATTTCTCTTCATTGTTTTCTCAACAATCCTTGCTTAAAAAAAATATTTTTTAAAGACAAAGGTACCTGGTTGATATGCTAATCTTGTTTAAAGCAGCTTTTGCGATACTTAAATGTACAGAGTGCATGTTTAGGCAAAGATAATACTTTTTATTATTGAATCTAAGCTGTTTTTATTGGCTTCAAAAATCTTTAAATCCAAAACTGTATATGTCTTAAGTAGACAGGTAGCCAGGTCATTTGGGTCATGGAATTGCACCTTTAACCCAGCAGTGCTAATAAGCTCTAGAGAAGAACAACTATTTTAAGGAGTACGATAACTGTTCTGAAACTCCTAAGGAAAATCTCTTATATGACTTTGTTAGAACTAGTAACATGTTCAGTGTGTGTGCGTGTGTGTTTTGAAATTATTAGTGTCGAGAGAGAGAGAGAGAGAGTCCAAACTTAACTAGAAATTCAGAGGTTGTTTGGAATCAGACTGCTGGTTCTAATTTACTAATTTCACTTTGTGATTTTGGGTGCAAAACTTGTATTTCCTATGTAAAAATGAGACTAATAGTAGAACCTATTTCATAGCATTGTGAGGATTAAATTTACATGTGAGGCAGATATTGCCAATAGTTGTATTAGAAGTTAATGCTTCTAAATTTATAATTACATACATATAAAATGGTGGCTTTTTTTCTGTTTTAAAGTGTTAAATGTAGAATATATGAAAAACAAAGCCCAAAGAAGAAAAATCTAAACTACCATAATCTCATAACCCAAAAGAGCCATTATGTGACTGTAAAAACAGAACCCACACATTTGTTGTTCTACTACTGTGTGATAAAAGCAGTTAAAATTCCCCAAGTAAATCAGACTCCTTTACTCATATAAATATTAAAATGTGAATGTTGAAAGATAGTGAATGTTTGGTATACAATGTTTATGACGTTGTTGTTTTCCCCCCAACTTGTAGTTGCTGGTCATACTGGATTCTCCCCATCATAGGCGCCATTCTCTTAGGTTTCCTGTACCGTTACTACTACCCATCAGACAGCAAGTCCTCCTGAGGAGGCCTTGCCGGAGTCTGGAAAGCAGATCCACTTGGGAGCGGAAGCTAGAGACTCACTTGGAGGCTGCAGCGGTGCCCTGTTCGGAAATCCTCTCAGTTGTATTCTCCTCCCCACGGAGCCTAGACGGTTGGCTGCGCATCCACTTCCGAGCTGGGGACTGTCCTCCTTCCTCAGAGCCTTACTCCCGCAGCACCTGCGCACTGTTCGGTGTCCTGTCTTCACTGGTTTTCACGAGCATCTTTCTATTTCAAAGTTTTCTGTTAGTAACTGCAGTCCATGTGCCCTAACCAACCGCATTGCCCTTTGATAAAGATGTCTGCTTTCCAGTACTTTGCACATTAGATGTTCTTAACACAGCGGTTTACTCTCCTTTTGAAGTTTTTCTTTTTTCCATTTTTCTTTTCAGTAAATATTGTTATTTTAAAATTTGACTTCATTTCATCGTTTGTCAAAAGGGATTTAATTCCTGAAGTAAGTTGTGCATTTATAACTTAAAACACAGCTGCCAAAGGGCCTCGGTCCTTGTTTATATTTGTTAAAACGAAAAAGAGCCACGTGATCATGTCCCTCCCTCCCGAGCGAGGGCAGCGGGTAGCTCTTGCCACCCCCTTGGCCACTACCTGGTGCTGAACAGAGTTACGCTTTCTTCCCTTTCATTTCTTGGAGTGGAGAGAAACGGAGACGAGATGGATTGGAGTGATAGGGCGAATTCATAGCAATCTTCCCTCTGAAAAAAATTAAAAAACACTACTGTAGGACAGGAGTTGAGAAAGAGCACCAGACTTCATCCTTTACTTGGCTTTGGCATCAGTTTCTAGCCCCCTTTCTTATTTTTCCTTTCCCTCAACCATTTTTATTGGTAAAATATAAATTTGTAATTATCTATATAGAGTTTTACCAGGGATTTTTACTGTTTTTTGGTTTATTGATTAGCAAATTTAAAAAAAACACATATTTTATTGATTTTTTTACAGAGAGGAAGAGAGGGGGATAGAGAGCTAGAAACGTCGATGAGAGAGAAACATCGACCAGCTGCCTCTTGCACACCGCCTACCGGGGATGTGCTCGCAACCAGTGTACATGCCCTTGACCGGAATTGAACCTGGACCTTTCAGTCCGCAGACCGACGCTCTACCACTGAGCCAAACCAGTTTCGGCTGATTAGCAAATTTATTTCCTGTTTTAATGAAAGTAAGAGACTCCAAATTGATCAAAGGTACGGTATTTGATCTTCTGTTTGCCCAGTGAAATGAACGACGAATCAAGTGGCAGTTAAAAGGGGGAGATGGTGACAAAAGAATGTTTTCCATTTCTTCTGCATTTTACCTCCATGGCTGCCATTTGTGGTTTTGTTGTTTTTCCATTGAGAATTTAAACACTGGTAGGCTTCCCCCCCCCGTCAGATGAGTGTTTCATGAAGAGTAGGTTATTACTGAGAATTAGGTTATTGTTTCTCTTTGGTTCAAGAATGTCTTTGGCATATTTGCCTTTACATTTTCCCCCTGTGGTAACACCTGAGGAGTCAGCACACTGTGTTCTGCCAGCCGCTGCTGGTGATTTTTCTCCCCATCTTTGGAGGATTACCTGTCTGCTGCTGAGCCATTGTCAAATGCAGCAGGAGCAGCGCAGTTCAAGAAGGTCCCTGGGCCCTGCGTGGTACCTCCTCCTGCTCCCTGCTTGCCAGGGATTTGACAAGACAGGAAACTGCCCAGCATAGTGTCTGCCCATGCAAACTATTTAAGAAAAAGTTCAACCCAGGACTTGTATCCTGTGATTTAGCAATTGACTGAATCAGAATTCATCAAAATAATATCACCCAATTTTGCACAGTTGGATATGACACTATGGAGTAATGTCTTGGGATTGCTGGCTGACTTTTATATATCTTTTATGATATAGTCAAGCTTCTATCGTTAGGAAATGTTTTGTATGTATTTTAGATGCCTCTTTAAGACAATTTACTGAAAAAAGTATTTATTATATAGCAAAAGTGTTGGAACTACTGATGCTCCTTCATTTGAAGGGAAGGCAGGGTTGCCTTGAATACGAATTGGAATGTAATCGGTGTAAGTTGGATGATTGCACGGGGCCACATTGGGGTAGAAGTAAAAAACAAAGGAGTATTGAGGAGTTGGAAAGGGAACATTCAAGCTAAAACGAAGCCGGAAGATAACTTGGATCAATCAAAAGTGTGTTGGCAGTCTCCAGGAGTGAATGAAAAACATCTGGCTTATAAGAAACATTAAAAAAATGGCAGTCTTAAGAAAATTGATTTTTTTAAATTTATATTTTTAGGGTAAACTCCAATGCAAAAGGTGTATGTTTTTCTATTTCATATTAGTTATCTTTTCCTATTTATTTCTGGACTCAGAGCCATAGGAAAAGATTTTCAGACTTTGTCTCTAACCATCTATGAAATTCATCCGATACTCCGGACTGCTTTTGAACTGCTAATGTGATGTCACTTTATATTATAAAAAACATACCTTTGGGTCCATTTACTATTCTTCTTCTGCCTACATAAACAGCCAAGGTGAAAGGTAGAATTTGTGTGAGAGTTTGCAGAGGTTTTTCTAAACAATAAAATAACACAGTGTGTTAGCCAAACCCATCCAAAAGGACTTGTTTTAAAAGGTAGACTCGAATTCTCGAAACAGTCTCAACATGGGCGGTTCGTGAAAACCCCTCTGGAGAGGTGGGGCCTGCCCCTGCTGGCTGGCCGTGCCCCCTGGAACTGGGCTCGGGTGTTTGGTTGTGCGGCTGCGTACCATACTGTGCACTGAATGGCTGGTTTCACAAAAAAGCAGATGAGGGAAAAATCGCGCCACCAAAATGGGGATGTCCCAGGTCTCCAAAATTTCCTGGCCCCTGACTCTTAAGAATTTTGGTTTCCACATAACCTACATTTGTAAAGACAAGAAATACTGTGTTTTAATTCTTGAGTACTTAAGCAGAAACAAAAATCCATTAGAACCTATAATTGGAATCTGTAAAGTTCTCTGGGCAGTCCTGAATGCATATGTTGTGAAAGAAGAGCATTGTTGAGTTTATAGTCAATCAGTTCTGATGGGGAGCAATGAGAAATGCTGTGTACAGGCCAGGTCTACCATTACCCTTGGTATCTCGTGCTTAAAACCTCAAGTGATGGCTATCTGCTTAAATTCCATTGTAGGAGATTAAAATGCAGAATGTTAATGTTTACTACTTCCTCCCCCAAGAGAAATGGGTCCAGACACGTCTTGTCTCAGCGAGAAATTGATTCCTTTAAACTATCTCACTCAGTTGCCAAATATCACAAAAGTAATGGGGAGTTTGGTCACTTCGGGCTGTTGTGCTCTGAAAGAGCCCAGTTTGGAATTTGGGGTGATCTCAGAGGGAAGTTCCAAGAAGCAAAGTGGTATTGAAGTCACCCACCCTTCATCTAGCCTCTCACTCCTGAGTTTTAGGAGCTGCTCCCACCTGCATCTATTTTGACAAAACATTGTTTTTCGATGATTTGACTTCCTTTTTACTTCCCCCTCGACTGTGAACGAGTACTATTTAACATTCCTTTTGTGTATTCAATAATGGAGTTTGTTTACCTGTTTTATTTCAACATATTTTGAACAAAGATCTTTGTCTCTCTCTGCTGGAATGTGCACACAGTGAATGTTTGTTAGAACTACACACAATAAAGATACTGTTTGCCTTTTCTTGCCCCGACTCCGGTTATTTAAAAAAAAAACACGCACACACAACTCTTTTTAGAAAGTGGAAGTGTTGGCTTTGTGATCTTCAGGGCTTCTGGAGGGAAAGAATCTGAGAAGCTTGAGAGCCCCTGGTTCTGTGCTGTGTTCCGTGCCAGGCGGCTCAGGATCCCTGCCGCAGCTCTTTCCTTGCAGTGAGTAGCTCGTTGATACTTGGGAGGCACAGATCAATACTTGCTGCATTGATGGACGGGAAGGGGCCCCCAGGTACACACGTTGGGAGTTGTGCTTCTACGGAAACCGTCTGCGAAAGAGAAGCCAGTAGAAGGTAATGAGATCTTGTTATCTGCGATGCCAGCCTTTAAAAGGACTGTTTTTCTTGGCAATAGCTAAACTGTTGGGGAAAATTAATCACCGAGATTGAGGTTCTGGTGACGAATAAAACAAGGGAAATAAAACCATTTTCCTCATTACTTCTAAAACCTACGGGTAGCCTTGTAACACTCCCAACGAGACAGTTCGCGAGGGCTTCGCTACTTCACCGTCACGTGAATTGGGGGATCGCTAACCGGAAAGCATAGTCCGTTGTTATTAGCTTTTGAATCTAAAGTGTAACCCACAGCCATAATAATTCATGTCACTGCATTCTTCCTGGTGCTGAGTATTTGGCAGGTGCTTGACAAATCCTGCCTGGTTCCCCGAAAACCTGAGGTAGAAGAGGGATTCCAATTATGTAAACGTAAAGGTAAGAAATACCAGTCTACTAAATGGTCGGTAATTGTCGGTAACGTTGGTAACCTAGCTTTTAACTAAAAAGAAGTCTATACTATGAATTTCAAGGCCCACCCAGCTTAATTGCCAGTATTTTAAAAACTTAATCCTTTTCCGAAGTATTATGGAGAAGCAAGAGTTGCTTGCAGCTGAAACAAGAGTGCAGTTGTAATACTATCATTTATGTGACACCTACCATGTGCCATGCAGTGTCTTCAATAGTTTACAAATATTTCTGCTCCTTTCCCTGTAGGATCCTTACGAGGTAGATGGGGGAGAGGAGTATACCTCAGAGAGCAGCTTGATTTGCCTGAGGCCGCACAGCCAACAGAAGAGGTACAGTTTACACCCAACTCTAGCCCTAAACCTTAGTTTCTACTGTTGGTGGTTCCATATAAAAACTAAGCTCAAACTGTGTCAAATATATAATATGTCTAGCCCTCGCTGGTTTGGCTCAGTGGATAGAGCATCCGCCTGTGGACTGAAGGGTCTGAGGTTCGATTCCAGCCAAGAGCATATGCCTGGGTCCCCATTAGGGGG